GGATAGAATAAAATAAATAAATAAAAATGCTTTATTTCAGACAATTTTAAGAGTCCATATAAACGGGTTCGAAAATAATCAAAAAAACAATGGCAAATTCAAAAACTTGTACCCTGTGCAGAGACGGACCATCATGGGGGTGGATAAGGCCCCGTGATCAGTCTCTGCACAAGACACTTCCATAGCGGCGATGTGTATCTGTCCGCTAGGGTCCTCAGAATGCTGTTGCGACTGGCTCGTACCCTGGTATTAAGGGATACAGATTTCTTGCGTATTATGGCGCTAAACCCGTCTATTTGGTAATCCGCAAACATCCCTGATGCGCTACAAAAACGAGGCAGTCTCAACAGCATCCTGAATGTATTATTATATTGGATAGAGATATTCAGTATTAGTGCACAAAACTACACGGGCAGAAAAATCCTCTAGTGGCGATTACGACCTGGAAGACGTAGGCAGGCCTCCCACTCATTGGTTCCCAAAGTGGGAGGCGCAAAGACCTATAAAGGGGGGCGCGGGCCATCTGTGTGCTAAGTTTATAAATGACCGCTGAGAGAATGTATTCCAGATTGCTCGATACGACCAATATGGTCGAAAGGGGGCGCGTCTCAAATAAGTTTGGGAACCAATGTAGGTGGTGTAGTGTGCAGGATGGTCACGGTTTCTCACTTATGTACGCCGGGGTTATCCCCGGCGCCCAATAAAGCAGTGGTCTAGTGAATTGGTAATAGTGGTAATGATCTAGTGAAGGTTCCGGGAAGCATCGGGATGTGGGAAGCACCATGCGGGCAGCGCAGGACCGGTGGTTGTGGAAATCCTTGGGCGAGGTCTTTAGGGCTATATTTCACCGGGACACCATGGCGGCGCAACCAGTCGCTGCTACCAACAAAATGTATACAGCTTTGCGCAACCAAACGGACACCAGGTGAGTAACTCTTTATAGAGCTGTATACATTTTGTTGGTAGCAGCGACTGGTTGCGCCGGTGGTGTCCCGGTGAAATATAGCCCTTACTATATCCCTAATAGGACCACTCCCACTATTCCCGACGATGTCGTAAAATGCGGCTAAGAGACAAAGGAAGGGGTTGTGCAAACGTGTGCCTCTGGTATATTATGAAAAGGTCGTGTTTATGCAGTGGCGACTAATGACTTGACAAAAAGTAATGTACAGAAAGATCTTCAAAGACCTATAATAGCAGGCTCCTTCTAAAAATCTGTATATTCCACGGATTTAAAAGAAATAACACAACAAGCAATAAATAAAATCTCACCGTTACCCTTAGCGACCTCTCCAACCGCGTACTGCAGAATTCCGTTTTGCAAGTTTCCGTTCCCGTTCCCGTTGGCGTCCCGGAACTTCTCCTGCAATTGGGACAGGTCGTTCTTGTCCCGGGCAGCGTTGAGCGAAGCCTCCATGTCCCGCTTGTTGTTGTATTCCGGGATTTTGCTGTCGGGGAATGGGACGCCGTCCCTGGAAGAAGTGAATAGTGATTAGAATATAAGATTTTAAATTTTCGCGTTCCATTTCAATGAGGGTTTTTCGCGTAAGAAAGATCCGCTAGATGGCGGGACGTGGATGTGGGGTCTGACTGCTGCGTGATTGGTGGATTTTGACATATCTGTCAATGTCATGTCAAAAATAACCAATCATGCAGCATTTGGACCTTGCGTCTACGTATTGCCATCTGGCGGATTTTTCATACGCGAAAACCCTCATTAAAATAGTAAGACACTCATCAATCAGTAATGTAACTCATTAATAAACGTCGCGTTAAAACCCGTGTCTTACTATTTTAAGTTATTAGAATCTCTGATAATGTCTCAAATATGGTAGCGCAACTTTTCTCGTCCATCGTCTTGCTCCATTTTTCTACTGAATATTCATTATTCTGCAGGTTTTTCTCGAATCACTTCTTACTGGATTTTATCCATTTTATTTGAAAATGAGCTTGAAAATCTCATGACTTGAAAGTTCTTACTTTCTGCCATTCAATCTTAGAAGAATTACTTATAACACAAGTAGGAATTACTGTTTGAAAACGGTTGCTAAACTATGTCAGTTATGTAAAATGTTGCACTCAGGACCATCCTAATATGTTGTAGCATTGTTGACTTGACACTACTGGAACTTAAGCCAGGACATACAGCTGATGTCGTGCCATAAGTTATGTCGTGTGACGTGTCATTGCAAACTAACCCCTATTACAAGTTACCTTATGTCGTTTTTCCCGTTGTCAATGGGCGCGCACGAGCTTGGCGGTGTTGCCTGATTTTGTGCCATTGGAAAATAACCCCTGTTACAAGTTACTTTATGTCGTTCTTCCCGTTGTCAATGGGCGCGCACGAGTTTGCCGTTGTTGCCTGAAGTTGTGCCATTGGAAAATAACCCCTATTACAAGTTACCTTATGTCGTTCTTCCCGTTGTCAATGGGCGCGCACGAGCTTGCCGGTGTTGTCTGATTTTGTGCCATTGAAAAATAATACTTATTACAAGTTACCTTATGTCGTTCTTCCCGTTGTCGATGGCGCGTACTAGCTTGCCGGTGTTGTCTCCGTATTCCCCGCAGGAGACCTCGATGAAGGACGCCGGGTTGTGGTATGAGGGCACATTGCAAAATAACCCCTATTACAAGTTACCTAATGTCGTTCTTCCCTTTGTCGATGGCGCACACGAGTTTGCCGTTGTTGCCTGAAGTTGTGCCATTGGAAAATAACCCCTATTACAAGTTACCTAATGTCGTTCTTCCCGTTGTCAATAGCGCGTACTAGCTTGCCGGTGTTGTCGCCGTATTCCCCACAGGAGACCTCGATGATGAAGGACGCCGGGTTGTGGTAGGAGGGCACATTGCAAAATAACCCCTGTTACAAGTTACCTTATGTCGTTCTTCTTTTTGTCGATATCAACCCCTATTACAAGTCACCTAATGTCGTTCTTCCCGTTGTCAATGGGCGCGCACGAGTTTGCCGTTGTTGCCTGATTTTGTGCCATTGGAAAATAACCCCTATTACAAGTTACCTAATGTCGTTTTTCCCGTTATCGATGGCGCGCACCAGCTTGCCGGTGTTGTCTCCGTATTCCCCGCAGGAGACCTCGATGATGAAGGACGCCGGGTTGTGGTAGGAGGGCACATTGCAAAATAACCCCTATTACAAGTCACCTAATGTCGTTCTTCCCGTTCTCAATGGGCGCACACGAGTTTGCCGGTGTTGTCTGATGTTGTGCCATTGGAAAATAACCCCTATTACAAGTTACCTTATGTCGTTCTTCCCGTTGTCGATAGCGCGTACTAGCTTGCCGGTGTTGTCCCCGTATTCCCCGCAGGAGACCTCGATGATGAAAGACGCCGGGTTGTGGTATGAGGGGCACTGCAAGCCCAAGATGCCCAGCCACTCCACTGCAAATAATGGCTCCCATCAGAAGAGTTTTAGAGAAACTAATGCCAAAGTGTGATTCCAATTTAAGTATTTTCTTTTGCAAATGGAGCGCACAGTATTTCTATAATTTGCAAATAGGCTTTTAAAAAGCACTTTAGCACACTTCTACAGTATAAGTTTAATCTTGCAATCTTATTTTACTTTTCATTTTTCGGAACCTCATAACTTCTGAACGGGCAACTTTGTGCGCACGCTGTTAGTCTAGGATTATAGTCAACAAGCCATAGAACAAGGCTCAAGTAGTTTCAAAGCAAAATCTGTCAAGGCTTAGTCGAAATCGACCACTTTATGTTTCATTCCATACAACGAAATGGGAAAATATTTTTTTCCAGTCAAA